ACTAAGCTACTTCAGTGATAAACGTAAGTAAGCCTGGGGTGGTACTGACTAAAAATAACAATTGTAAATTATTATCCTAATACATTGACTATATTCTAATTTTAATATGATTTATTTTATTCTTTTTAGTGAATCTTTTTCTTTGTAAGAATTTTGTAATAAACAATTACAAATTTCATATTTGTTCAAGTATTTAATATACATGAATGGATTTTATAAAGGTATTTAAATAAAACTTGGCTCGTGACAACCATTTTCGGAATCCTCAAACGTCAATCTAAAAAAAAAAAGAATTCAACGTCTTCAAAGTTTTAATGATTCTAGCAAATCATAGATGTAACCACCCCCTCCCTTTAAAAACAAATTAAATATTACGTTAGTTGTTATACATTGTATATCCATTATAAAATATTTTTTTATGGAATCAAATTATTTAATTAAAATATTGGGAAGGGGGGTTATGTTTTTATCCCATCCTCTTCCCATAAATTATCTCCGCCTCGTGTATACCCTTTTAATTTGCAGAAGTAGTTTAAAATCGGTCATGCACTCCAATAAACTTTTTTAAACTTTAAAATTTAAAAATATTAATTATTTTTCACAAAGATTGAAATTTGATAAATTTGTATAAAATTTTAGAAAAAATTGTGTGAAATTATATTAAAATATTTTTAAATAGCTTTAGGGTATTGTATAAGTAATAGCAGAGTAATTGATTTATCATTGTTAACAAAATTTATTCTAAAAAATAATAATCTTAAAAATGTTTTTTTTTTTGAGTAGTGGTTAAATACTTCATACGTTCACCCTTATTTTAGCTTCGATGCGAAGCTGAGAAGGAATTAATTTTACTATGATGTGTTTTTTTTTTTTTGTGTGTCTGTGAACGCTCACTCTCAGCTCTCGCTGGACCGATTTTGATGAACAATATGTCAAAAGATCACAAATCGTATCTAGTCGAAGACATTACCCTTAAAAATTGAAAAAAATTCCCTCGTTCCCCGTAAATGGGGGAAACCTCCAAAAAAATTACAAATTTAAAAATCGCTAATTTTCGAAATTTTTTCAATTTTTTTTACTAAAAACTGCCGTAACTTTTTCAAAAATGAACATATCAATATAATTTTTTTTTATATAGATGCTTGATGTCTTTACTTATCATTTGGTATATTTTTTTTGTAAATCTGACACTTAACCTGCCCACAGGGGGGGATTTAAAATGACAACTTTTTCACAAAAAATTTACTTTTTTTACTTAAATTTTGAAAATGTTCCGGAAAATCTGACACTTTTATATATATCTTAAATTAAAGCTAATGTAATATACTTTAATTTGAAAAAAAAAAATTTGACCTCTGGACTTGTCTTCACGGCGAAAATGGCTACCGAATGCTATTTTCGTGTGAAAATTCTCGATTTTATTTTTTACATTTTTAACGTTATAATGCTATGATATATTGAAAAGTGATTTATGGATCCACACAATTTTTTTATGAGAAATAATATTTTTTAATAAACCCTTTTTCATTCGACATACTTTATCTTAATCGAGATATTAATAAGGAACCAGCAGATCAAGTAGCTTTTGGAATAAAACACCAATTTTTTTAAAATTAAACACTATCTAAAGATTTGCATCGAAGCGTTTATTTTTGATAGTGATTTTAATCACTGTCAGATATCATTATACTTGATCCAACTATACCACGTCACAACTGTGCCGCGACCCCCCTGTGCTAGTTTTTTTTTTCAATTTTTTTTACTTAAAAGTGCCATAACTATTTTAAAATGATCGAATCAAAATAATTTTTTTTTTTTATAGATACCTTAGATATTTACCTATCATTTTAGATATTTTCGTGAACATTTGACCCTTTAACAGCCCACAGGAAGGGTTTCAAAATTTTTTTTTATATAGATGCTTGATGTCTTTACCTATCATTTGGTATATTTTTTTTGTAAATCTGACACTTAACCTGCCCACAGGGGGGGATTTAAAATGACAACTTTTTCACAAAAAATTAACTTTTTCAACTTAACTTTTGAAAATGTTCCGGAAGGTCTGACACTTTTATATATATCTTAAATTAAAGCTAATGTAATGTACTTTAATTTGAAAAAAAAAAATTTGACCTCTGGACTTGTCTTCATGGTGAAAACGGCTACCGAATGCTATTTTTGTGTGAAAATTTTCGATTTTATAATTTACATTTTTTACTTTAAAGTGCTATAACTTTTTAAAAAATGTATGGATCAATACAATTTTTTCATGAGAAGTAGTATTTATATACATCTTTCATTGGATATACTTTTTTTTTAAATCAGACTATTTCCCTATATATGGGGGGGCTTCAAATATAAAAAATGCATATAGAAAGTAGAACTTTTTCAACTTAACTTTTGAAAGTGTTCCGGAAGGTCTGACACTTTTATATATATCTTAAATTAAAGCTAATGTAATATACTTTAATTTGAAAAAAAAAAATTTGTCCTCTGGACTTGTATTCATGGTGAAAATGACTACCGTATGCAAAAATATGCTATTTTTTTGAAAAAATTCATGATATTATATTTTACATTTTTTAACATTATGATGCTATAACTTTTTAAAAAAAGCATGAATAAACTTTATTCTTTCATGATAAATACTTTATATATACTTCTTTCATTCGACATACTTTTTTTTTTAATCAGACCATTTCCCTTTATACATGGGGTGTGCAAACCTTTTAAAATGCGTATAGATAGTAGAACTTTTTTAACTTAACTTATGAAAATGTTCCGGAAAGACTGACACTTTTATATATATATTAAATTAAAGCTAATGTAATATACTTTAATTTGAAAAAAAAAAATTTGACCTCTGGACTTGTCTTCATGGTGAAAATGACTACCGTATGCAAAAATATGCTATTTTTGTGAAAAAATTCTTGATATTATATTTTACATTTTTTAACATTATGTTGCTATAACTTTTTAAAAAATGCATGAATCAACTTTATTCTTTAATGATAAATACTTTATATATACTTCTTTCATTCGACATACTTTTTTTTAAAATCGGACCATTTCCCTTTATACAGGGGGGGTGCAAACCTTTTAAAATGCGTATAGAAAGTAGAACTTTTTCAACTTAACTTTTGAAAATGTTCCGGAAAGACTGACAATTTTATATATACCTTAAATTAAAGCTTATGTAATATACTTTAATTTGAAAAAAAAAAATTTGACCTCTGGATTTGTCTTCATGGTAAAAATAACTACCGTATTCAACAAATTGCTATTTTTGTGTTAAAATTCTGGGTTTTGTATTTTATTTTATTTTAAAATACCTGACAAGGGGAGTACAGATTTTTATAAATATTATATAAATTAAAATTAATATAGCATAGAAAGTAAAACTTATTTTAATTTGTTTGCTTCTTTTAAATCGAGAGAAATAACTTTGAAATTTGAACTAGCTTAAATAACCAATTTTTTCAATTGACGTTAGCGACGTATGGTTGCTTATGTTTTACACGTTGGGGTACGAGGTTCCAACCCGCGTATGGCAATGAATTTTTTGCATTTTTTCTTAATTCTTTTTAAGTTAGTATAAATTTTAACTCGTTTGATTTTTATCACATTTAGATTCAATAACTTCAATAAAGATCAAGGATCCCATCACTTTAGTCGCCCCTTGCAAGAAGAAATTTCTTATTCGTATTAAAATTATTTTACTATATTTTAAGTTTTAGCTTCGATGCAAAGCTGAGAAGATATTTTTTTGTGACTATCATTTATTTTCTCTGCTCTAACTTGACCTAATTTTTTCAACGATACGTCAAATGACTACAATTCGTATCTAGTTGAAGATATTACCCTTAAAAATTGAAAAAAAAATTCTAATTTATAAATTAAACTGTTAGTTATTACATGTTCTCCATAAAAACAATTAAAATCATTAATTTCTAATGTTTTCAAAATATTTATGAACGAATGAAGTATGATATGATAGGTTTCAACTACAAAATTAAATCATTTTACTTTGTAATTTAATAATTTTATTACTCTGTTTGTGTGTGCTACTATTAGACTATAATATTCAAANAAATTTTTTACTGTATTTGTGTGTGCTACTACTAGACTATAATATTACAATTTTTTTTGTAACATGTTGCTATATAAATCATTTCTAAAAAAAATGATTGTTTTTTCTCCTGAATTAACAATTGATTTTTACAAATATAATCAAATGTTATAATACGCTCAATTGAGTAAATCTTTTTAAAAACTTTGTTTTAATTGGATCATTTAGTTAAAGTAAATCATTAAAATTAATTAAGTTCTCAATATTTCAATTATAGAATCTTTTCAACAAACAACAAAAGTTCCTAGGAAATTATTACTATTACTTCTATTTAAGTTATCTATTACCATAAAAATGCAAAAAAATATTGAGCTTTTCTGATAAATTTACAATAAATAGTAATTATAAAACTTTCTGACTGCATATTGATCTTAACGATACAATTTTTTTAATTGTCATAAAATTTTCTATTTAATTATGTCAATGTCAAACTTACCAATTGAGCTAAAAGTTATGGTAAAATAAATTTTTTTTTTTTATTATAAACATTTACAACAATCAACTTTAAACGATTAACAAAATAGGTTAAATATGTCATTTTCCTTATTTTTAACTTATTAATAATCAAATTAATATTAAATATTATATCAAATCAGTATTAATTTAAAACAATTTTTTTTGTTCTTAATTATTTTTTTTTATATGTAAAAACTATTTTTTAATAATATTAAAACTTAGAAGTTATAGAAAAAGTCTAATTGCACATTTTAAAACATCGCGAAAAGTTGATTTAGAATAGTATATTTTTGTTTCTGATGGAAGTTCCTTGTAGTCCAGTGTATAAAACTTATAACTTTGTTAATTGTTATAACTTTATCAAAAATGACCAAATCAGTATATTTTTTTTTATTTAGATGCATGTCTTTATCTATCATTTGGTTTTTTTTATAAATCTAACCCTTTACCTGCCCACAAGAGGGATTCAAAATATTAACTTTTTTTTTTTTAGTTAAAGTAAATCATTAAAATTAATTCAGTTCTGGATATTTCAATAGTAGAATCTTTTTAAATATCAAAAATTACTTAGAAATGATTACTATGATTTCTATTTAAGTGTTCTATTACGATAAAAATGCAAAAAATATTGAGTTTTTCTGATAAATTTACAATAAATAATAATTATAAAACTTTCTGACTGCATATTGATCTTAACGATACAATATTTTTAATTGTCATAAAATTTTCTATTTTATGATGTCAATGTCAAACTTGCCAATTCAGCTAAAAGTTATGGAAAAATAAATTATTTTTTTTTATTATATACATTTACAACAATCTACTTTAAACGATTAAAAAAATAGGTTAAATATGTCATTTTCCTTATTTTTAACATATTAATAATCAAAATCAGCATTAATTTAAAACAATTTTTTTTGTTCTTAATTATTTTTAGCTTTTTTTATATGTAAATACTATTTTTTAATAATATTCAAACTTAGAAGTGATAGAAAAAGTGTAATTGCACATTTGAAAACATCGCGAAAAGCTGATTTAGAATAGTATATTTTTGTTCCTAATGGAAGTTCCTTGTAGTCCAGTGTATAAAACTTGTAAGTTAACTTTGTTAACTGTTACAACTTTATCAAAAATGACCAAATCAGTATATTTTTTTTTTATTTAGATGCATGTCTTTATCTATCATTTGGTTTTTTTTTTTAAATCTAACTCTTTACCTGCCCACAAGAGGGATTCAAAATATTAACTTTTTTTTTTTTAGTTAAAGTAAATCATTAAAATTAATTCAGTTCTGGATATTTCAATAGTAGAATCTTTTTAAATATCAAAAATTACTTAGAAATGATTACTATGATTTCTATTTAAGTGTTCTATTACGATAAAAATGCAAAAAATAATGAGTTTTTCTGATAAATTTACAATAAATAATAATTATAAAACTTTCTGACTGCATATTAATCTTAAAAATAACATTGTTTTAATTCTCATAAAATTTTCTATTTAATGATTCATTCTAGTCAACGAAGGAGTAATTTTGCAGAATAGCAGAAAAAATTCCCAACAAACTTTTTTTTTTTTTGTTTTAATTAGGCAATTGGTGGATTATTCCAAAAGCAACATCAACTCTTATTTCTTTAATTATATCCTGATTAGTAGTTCTTTGATTTTAAAATATAATATATCAATAAATACTAATTCTAGTTTTTAAATTTAATATGAAATTGATATTTAATAATTTAATATTGTATTTAAACGGAAAAATTATAAAACTAATAAAGAAGTTATATTTTGCTTTACTTTTACGTGTATAAAATTTTAAAAGGCTTGATACAATAATTATCAATAAAAACTGTTTGTTACTATAAATGAATGCACTGGACTTCAAAGAACTTTCATCAGAAGCAAAAATATACTTTTCTAAATCAAATTTTCACGTTGTTTTCAAATCTGCAATAAGACTTTATCTATCAGTTCTAATTTTTTATATTATTACTAATTACATATAAAATNTTTTATATTATTACTAATTATATATATAAAATAATAATTAAAAGAAAAAAAAAATTGTTTTCAAATTATTACTGATTTGATTTTTAATATGTTAAAAATAATCAGTCCAAATTTTTATTTTTAGCCTATTTTTTTGGTTCTTTAGAGTTGATGAAAAATTTTTGATAAAGATTTATGAAAGTTTATAGTAAAAAAAATTGAATATATTATCATAACTTTTAGCTCAATTACAAGTTTAAAATTGACATCTAGGCCAGTCAACAAAGGAAAAATTTCTTAAAAAATTCCCAAGCAAATTTTATTTTATTAATAGTTGAATTAAAATATGTATAATGACATACTAATTGTCCTCATTGATTGAAATTGAGCATTNATTTTATAGTTTTTCATTTAAACAAATATTTTTCGAGTTACATTACATTTAATATGAGTACTAAAATTTATATTCCATTTTTTTCATTTTACGGTTACTTTTTATCATGTTACACTTACGTTAGACACAATGTTATAAATGCATATGTGTGTATGTGTGAGTTTATTTATTTATAGTATCATTTAAGTGTAGTGTATATTAAGATACAACCGATAGAGTAGGTAATTGATTTGACTCTATATTGTTTAAACCCAACTAAACGCTGAATTGTACATTCCCAAACAACAATCATATTATGTCAATTGCCACCGGAATTTCTGGTAATCTTTTTTTTTTCTTTGCCTTAATTCCAACTGCTTGGGGTCGGAAACCCTTATCCTAAGATTCCACTTGACACGATCTCCCACATCTTCTACGCTCACATGAGCTGTTCTCAAATCGCATTCAATAGCATCCCTCCATCTATTTTTTGGTCTTCCTCTATCTCTTTTTCCTTCAAAATTCATTTTTTATAACTGTTCTTACAGCTTCCGATTCTTCTCTCCTCATAGCATGACTAAACAATCTAAATCTATTTTCTGTCATCTTATCCACAATTGACGCAACACCTTTACTTCCTCTTATATGCTCGTTCCTTATCCTATCTTCTCTAGTCACTCCTCTCATCCAACTAAGCATTCTCATCTCTGCTACACTTATTCTCTGCTCTACTTTCTTAACAACCGCCCAACACTATGAACCATACATCATATCTGGCCTCACAATATCATACTGAATTTAAAAACTATAATTAGTATTTATTCATATATTATATTTTAAAATCAAAGAACTACTAATCAGGATATAATTAAAGAAATAAGAGTTGATGTTGCTTTTGGAATAATCCACCAATTTCTCTAAATGAAACACTATCTACAGATTTGCATCGAAGCGTTTCTTATGATAGTGATTTTAATCACTGTCAGATATCATCTATACTTGTCCCATCTATGCCTCGTCCACACTGTGCCTCGACCCCACTGTGCTACCGTTTTTTTTTTTTTAATCCCATACCGAGTTTGCGTTTCAATTTCATTTATTTACATATTGTTATAAAAAAATTGGTTAAAAAATTACAAAAAATGTATCGATTTATTTTATTAAATATAAATAATTTACACTTTGAGTTTAATTTGTTTCTTCGTCGTCGTCATTGTGGTCATCATCGACCAGAGAATAATGCCCCCACGCTTTTGTATACACGTCCTTGTACTCTCCTTCGTCACCGATTAACGCCCGCTTATCGTAGTTGTTGTTGTTGACCAACGCGAGTTTATTAATTTCAACCGTCGAAACACTATGGTGTTTCGTGCGTATTACGGACATTTCCCTGCGGGTTTGCTTGAGTGTACCACGCAAGCAATTCAAATAGACAACCATTTTGATTTCATGTTTCACCACACCCATGCTCATGCCTTTCAATCGCTTCACCTCGTCCGTTTGCCACGTAACCAACAACCTGTCGTAGTAATTTTGTATGGCTATTGAATAAGCGTACACTTTGGGTAACAATGCGATAATTTCTTGTATATGCTTACCCTTGCATTCATCAGTAAACGTGCCCGGTTGTTTTTTTCGTCGATCGGTGTAACAAGGGTGATCGATCGGGTAATTCGACGTGTCGAAATATTCTAGTAAGTACTTTTTCAAATCATCGTGGAATCAGTTGGTCGTTATCAAGTAAATGAAACTATCGGTGTCCATGTAACAGAGTAGAAGTCGCTCGGGTCCGTACAACGGCATCATAACCTCGTAATGGAACTTGTACATTATACATTTACTTATATCCAATATGGCCTGTCCAATAAAAATGGGTTTGTAAAAATTGATCTTCTCCTTATACATGTGCACGGCAACCAGATTTTTGTTGAATACGATGGTGTGACTAAACGACGGTTTTGCCGCTAATCTCGACAGTTTCTTTGGGTTGCACACGAGTTGTATGTTTTGGTGTTTCCGTACGTTCTCCAATGTTTTTCCTGTTGAACACGAAACAAATAAGTTAAAAAAAAATTACAATCGAAGTTAGGAAAATTAATTATATGTTACCATAGTTTGAGTTGATCATCAGTTTAGCCATGTTTTGTCCAAATGTGGTGGTCGCTTTTTTACGCAATTCCGTGTTCAACTGAATGTACGGTGCCAACCAGCGGGATTGCATAAATTTTATACATTTATGCAGTTTTTTATGATCACACCGTGTTTCACAGCTAGTTTTAGTGCGCGGTAGTGCACGATATAACCACGTTTTGGTTGTAACGTGGTCATCAACTTGCTGTGTTTCGAAGACGACAACGGTGATCGCTCGTTTACCGGAAAAAATGGTAAATCATTGTGTAAATCGTGCAATTCACGAGGATAATGTGCATCGATTTCCACCAGGTATCCGTAATCACCGTCGTCGGGGGTGTTCAGTACTTCTTCCAGCGTTGCCGTCGACCACTCAAAATATCCAAACGGAATAGGTTCCATCATGGCTGTAAAAAAAGAATAGAAAATTACAATATTTTTTTATATAAATAAAATTACATTAAATATACATACCTGTCCCGTACAAATTAGTAGCGTCCAAATACTGAAGGTATTTGTGAGGCAAATCGGGGTTGTAGTCGGGGACATCTGGGTGGTTTGCTCGAGCATACCGCTGATTAACTTGCGTAAACCTCCGCGTATACCCATTTCGAACATCAACAACATATCCGGGTCCGTCAATAGTTCAATGTATGCGTCCGTGTACTTCAACATTGCATCGAACGACAATGCCGGACACGAAAAATAATGTGCGGGATCGAGTTTATAATTTGTCAGACTTTCCTTCCGAAATTTTTCAAACACATCGGCCAGTATCTACATCAAACAACAAAAGTTATTACATACGATTCGGAAATAAATTATATAAAAAAAAAAAAACATACCATTACGTCAACAAGTAAATACTTGTCGCTGTAATCACCGAGAGTGTTGCAACTGAAGTGTTGCCACATTTTTTTACCGTGTTCATAGTCTTCCTCGGACACCGTCTGATGCGTGATCGAGCTGTAAAATTGGTCACGGGGCGGCAATCGTGTTTCTTCGAGCCTCTCCCAACAGTCGACGTACTCGTACGGAAAAACAGATTTTAGGGTGACCAACTCCAGCGATTCAAACACTTTGTGTGTATGCACGAAATCCGGTGTCGACAATGTGGCGGTCAGCTTAGATAAACTAGCTTGTAGAAACCGATAGGAATCTATGAACCGGATACGAAAATAATCATCTATGGTCTTGCTGAACATGATGTACTTTTTTTCGGACTGTGCAATGATATATATGTTTTTATCGTCGTACGCCAATTCTGGGATAATCATGTGCGAGTCGTAGTTGGACAGACCGTGTATGATAAAGGCCGGTGGACGTCGTTACAGGTTGCATTTGTTACACAAAACGGAAGGAAACCGAGCCGTCCAGTGGTTGTGATCCTTGACTTTTTTTACTTTATCCGTGAACCTAATTGAACACAACTCGCAATTATTCGTTGTATCGAAACGTAGTTGTTCCTCCGGTGTCAGTGGCGTCATATCGATGTTCACATTCATTATGTCCGATATGCGTTTACCAATGGTTACCAACGTCGTGATAAAGTGTTTGACCGCATCCAGTCCCCGGTACAGTACCGGTTCGTTTGGTAGTCCATCGCAAATATTTTTCGGCAACACCTTAGAATGGCGTACCACATAGAAACAGTAGATCATCGCCTGGTGATCTTGTGTAACCGTACAGTACTTGGACACTTGTTGCTCGGCACGAACCAACAAACTCTCCATGTCTGCGTACACAACCACTGGAACCGACTCCTCTCGCCTTGTGTTTTTGAACCGCAGTACCGACTGGTCGGAGTCGGGTGCGGGAAGGATGGCANTCGGAGTCGGGTGCGGGAAGGACGGCTCGCGCTTCCTTGAACTTTCCACACATTTTAATGTGCTCATCCACCCCCGCTTGTCCGCTCGGTTGAGTCTTTAACGGTTGATTGGTAAATGCGTTTAAACAACGTTTACAATAGTACTCCTGTCGTTTGCCCTCGGTTCGTTGTTTTGACACGAGTCTCGAGAAATTTGATATATAACAATAGTGGCTGTTTCCCGGCTCGGTAACGTAAAGTAAATCAACATGATCGGTGCTCGTACGCGATTTAGTGATACGCAACGGATACACGTTATTTTTATCGTCCAACGCAAATACATTGATCAACATTGACGGGTTATTACGTTCAAATCGAATAATTTGTTTCAATGGTGTAGGAAAGTCAATGTCAAGCCATCAAAACGTATATTTGTGGATTTTTCCAGATCAATGTAACCTGCATTCCATTNTTTTCCAGATCAATGTAACCTGCATTCCATTGATCTTTATTTTTTTTGTTCTTGTTGTACTTACATAAAATCGCCCATTTAAAACACTGCTGGTCGGCGTTTCTTACGTTTATGACCGCAAATTTTTGTTTGATACACTGTGGAAGTTCAACGTACGAGTCACCGCTAAATGGTGTAATTTTCGTGACTCTCAACAGCAGTCCGTCTATGAATAATAGCGACCACCCGCTACCTCGGGTCTCCATTTCCTGTTGTTCGTACACGAGCTTCTCCGTGATTCCATCAAAAACGGCGGCATATACGGTACCTGAATCGACAGTTTTGTTACGCGTTTTAAACGATACGTCTCTCATTTCACCCATAACTTGGTGTATGTAAGTTGTGTGCAGTACAACGTTGAATTTTATTATACCGTGCTTGGTGACGTCATTTAGTACGGTGGTTAAATCGTCACTCACGTATCGAATAAAATCGTCAATTTCGTCAATAGTCGTTTCATTTTTCAAAAAATAATGTATAACTCGACCGCGTAGTGCAGATTCTATCGGAACAAAGCCGGTCCCTGCAACGTGCATGCACGCGCGTTTGGTCACCCTACCCGCAGGCGCAGACAAATATCGTTTCCCTGAAATAACAGTTTGACGGTGACCCTGATTCATACTACAATGAACATTCAAACCAGTACTATCGACAAATGAAGACCCACAACCGCATACAAACGACATGATAACAACTATTGAAAAATTAATACATTAGTTAACCGTGTGTATGGTGAATGTCGTATTAATGGTGTATAACTCGACACTGATATGTACATTTCTAACAATAACTACTACCATCAGCCACAGAATGACACGCAGGAGGATACCGCGTAATACAGATTCTCCGAAAATTGCACGTAACACAAAAACGGATGCAGCTAGTGCTTTGAAATTTTTTTTTTTTTTTTGTCACCTCCATCCGCTTGCCACGAGACCATTAATCTGATATACATATCGGTATGCTCTTATAGCATACTACACCTCTCCTCTCTCCATTTGTTTATGTTTAAGATAAATTACTAGTCTACAATACAGTCGATGCACTCCTACAGCTTTGTGTACTCCTCTAACCACTTATAAACTGAGTTGTTTTTTTTTTTTTTTAATAATACAGTTGTTTATAATCTATTCGTCATCATATATTGTAGAAATCATTGAGTGTGTGGCGGAGCGTATCACCCACACACACACATATGTTTTACACAAGACGATAATCTTTAACCTTTACAACATAATAAATACTAACACATTCACCCGCTAAAAATGTGACAAACGCCTTATAGTTACTACATTGTTGCCATTAAATTATTTAATAAGGAAATAAATACATTTTTTTTTTTTAAGTTAGTTAAAACGAATGCACACACATACCATTAATACAACATATTTACATATTTATTTAACATTTTTCAACATAATAATTTATAATATTCAAATATATTTACAAAACTATATATACAACACTTAATTTACACTGGCCATGTAAGTATTTGTTCATCACAATATTTACACATACAGTGAGGTGGAAAGTGTAAAATTAACTCTTTGGTAATTTCATTTTGAATGATTAAAATTATTGTAAACTTATAAGTACATTTATAACTGAATAGTGGTGGTTAGATAATAACTTACTTTGGTTCAATACACGAAAACAGAAATATACTTTAAAAAGACACTGGAACGGGTTTTTGAATATATTTAATGACCTAAAAATTCGTATTTGTATTACTTAAAATATTATAATTTTAGTTATTTATTGATAATATACTTAATATAAATATTTCGAATTATAGTAAACAAATTTTATTTATGAAAAAACTTTGTGAAATTTATCAGTATTATCGATTTTTAAAAATAAATAAATGCATTGAAGGGTTAAGACATTATGACAATTTAAAAAAAATTATACTTACAATTAAATGACTGTTGAAAATACACAAGAATGGCCGTGAAAAACAGTAGTAGTAGATGATGAATAGCCGCGTAAAAACACCAAAAAGTGAATAAACAGATAATGGGTTATTTCTAGAGTTATACAGTAAAATTTATATTTTTCAGCACAATGAATTTAATTGTTTGGGATAAAAGTCCCGATGAATTCTGTATGGTACAGAACGCCTTTAGAAGGATCTAGTTGACCAGTTGTTATAAAGATCATTGATTATATTATTTGGTGGGACAGCTGATCACCAGCATCTTGCTTTACTCACCCCCTTGCCCACCCATCACAGCAAATCGATGACCTCCGTGTCGTTTTTCATCCATGGACAGTACATTGTCATAAGTCAGTCTGTCAATTGTTTTTTGTGTCACTCTTTTTTCTGTTGCAAGCGCCCTCGCTTGAATAGTAAATTGTTCGGCCGTTGTACGCCATAGTTTTTTATTATTTGTTTATTGCACCCTTGTGCTCAAAGTTTACGTGCCCTTGCACGCCACTAGAGATTGGGCCCTGACCATCACTAAACATTATCATTGCCGTATCCTGTTCTCATCTGCCATTACGTACCTGGATTTACACTCTGACTCGTCATACTCAGATGTTCGACATCATTACCACAAGATCTCATACAGTCCACTCACCATCATCAACAGAGTCATCTATACAGCTGAGTTTTATATTATTTTTAATGTTAATTATTGTTTGTTCTAATTGAGATTAACTATGTTTTATGCCGCTTCGCCGGCCTCTAGTATTTAAGGGCCCCCCCGTTACCCCTTAAATTTAAGATACTCTCTGAGGAATTTCTAATATATGAGATTATTTGTTATTTAATTATTGTCTACTCTCGTTTACTTATTGGATTTATAGTTAGCCGTCATCTCCTAGGTGACCCACTCCCGCATCAATATTAACGTTTTATTAAACAGACTTAAAGTAAAACGGCATTCTAGTGCGATGCACAACTAGCCGTCCTACGGTCTAGCTGCCTCGTACGCAACAAATTCAATATCTTACTAGTGGGGATCAATAAATTGCTTACATAGATTTACAATGTTGCTATGTAAAACATAATTTAACGTTAAAAAATGTATAGAATATTTACTGGATATAATGGTTTAGGCGTGAAAAAAAAAACGCGACTTTAGCAATATTTTTGTTGATTTTCTTTTAAGTTGGAAAAAAATATATATGCATAATTCGGAACACAATAAATCTGATAAAGTCACACGTATCTGATTTTTTTTTTTTTTTGTTAGATACGAACGCTTGTAAATACAATAACCCTCTTAGATTATGAAAATTATGAATGTAGTAGTATAATACATTTTTTACTAAATCGAAAATTGCTATTAAATTTCATATAACACACAAGATACAATATTAAAAATGTTCATTTATTTTTTTCAAACTACAATAATATATAAGATTAACATTGATTTATTATTTATATGAAAATCAAAATAACAAATAATAGTAGTCTTATTTCGTTATTTTATTATTTTGGATAAATAACTGACCCTTACATAACAATATATGTGTACAGCTAGGAGACCAACGTACATGTTCTACCCATGGGTCGTCTTCCTCATCCCAATCTTTCAAACCTTGACTGCAACAGTAACATAACATTTGATCATTTTGTCCATTACCTAAAAATTATATACACTTATAAATAAAGTATTTGAATAAATATACGAATCATAAAAATACATTTAATAATATATAGTCCCATACCTATGTATAAAAATCCAGCATCACAAAGTGTTGATATTTTTAATTCCAATTTTTTTGGACAGTTTTCAAAAGTCTTTAAACGAGTGTTATAATTGGCAAACTCTTTGTGTTTAGAGAGTTTAATTCTAGGCTGCTGGTCATTAGACGTCGAACAGTAAAACATCATATCCTGAACAAAAAATTAATTGAAAAGTAATTGCACGTAGATAGTATCGCACCGTAACATACAGTTTTAATTTCTTACCTGAATTTTCATTGAGACGATTTTTATACGCCTTATACGTTTCATTTTCACTGTCCATTTTTGATCAAATACACACTGATACTAAACGTATAACCAAACAACAGCGTAAGTCGCAATCAGTGGAATGATTAAACTGAGAAAATTAATTTTGTGTGGACACTAAAGCTAGTTAAAGTCACACATGGTCTGATTTTTTTTTTTTGTAGATTTCATTCAACGCGTAAAAATACTACAACTCTCTTAAATTTTTGAAAAATGTATTAGTGTAGTAAATTTTTTTACATATTAAAATGAGTTTTTTTTTTTTTTTTTAGTTTCACTTATAAAAATAATAAATTATTCAATTTATCAAAGTACGATATAATTTGTAATATTTATATCACTATCTTGAAAATCATTAAAAAAAAAAAAAACATTATTAGTCTAATTTCGTTTGTCAGCTATTTTAGTTTAAATAACACCCGTTGACATTTCAATGGCACGTTCGTTCTACTGTTTCAATACGTTTTTCCAATATAAAAACACGATCATCGATTGCTATGTAATCTCGACCGAGCGCGTCCAAACGATTAGTTATTACAAACAAGTTATTTTTTAAATTATCGATGTCATCCGCATCGTCGTATCCGCTATTGCTGTCGCTACTGTTTACGATCTGATATCTGCTACTGTCAACGGCGGTTTGTGTGAAATGCATTAAAATCAAAAAGATTGTTGCAGCCGTTATACAAAAAAATAATCCGATAAGCGAAGCGTGCATCTGTTTAATATGTTCCCACAACGTTTTGACGGTTGTGCTGTCGCTGACACTGTCCATCGTGTTTACTGTACAAACGTACGGTCACTTCTTCAGGTCACTCGCAAATACGTGGTAAATATTTCGTGCGATTGACGTCCACCGCGGAAGGACTCTACAATAATATTGAAGTCACAAGTGTTACCTTTGTTATAGATATGTGTTCAGTAATCGGTTATATTTTAAATTAACAAACACATTAATTTCAAGATTAACAGGCTTTAACTATTTATACTGTACAAATGGTACGCATCAATAAAAACCGAATATTGTATATCAATGTTTCAATAAAAGGGTATATAGTAGTATAGATCACAGAGTCAATGTTGTAAACAACAAATGACCTTGTAGTAATGCTGTGAGATATTGCGCCTACGCGTTATGCACGTGTTCAGTGGTTTTTTTATCAAACACAACGACTGTCGTAATGTTTGGAATGTGTAGCGGAACCACATGGAAGGGGTATTCATCATTTACGAAACATCGACTTAAACTTAAACGAAAACGTCGGGGGTGAATTGGCACGGCTGTATATAGGGATGTGACACATCAAACGCGCGGACTCGACGCGTACTATACATACATTGGACCGTTAGCGTGTAGGTACTCTGGAAAATGAACTTTTTTTTTTTTGACCGACCAACTAACATATATTATATAGTTGAGATTGTGTAACGGGACACAATATAAAATATTTTTTTATATCACGACGTGATAGGGCATCTAGGGCTCACATTTTCATAGCACAGAGTTAGCGTTAGCGTGACGTCGTCATAAGGATTGTGTGTGTGTGTGTGTGTGTAACGGGCTAGCTGTAGTAGGTTCAGGTATGACGTCATAACGGCTTACCCCTTAGGTCAATGATATGACGTCGTCAACTAGGGGGATGGCGTCACGAGCTGCACTTGGATGCACCTGGATGCAGTCCCCACAGGCGCCGGGGCCAGGGAGGGTTACGGTAGGTCAGGTGTAACGTCACCATGACGGAATGCATCTCATCTGTGCACCCATTATTATCCCGAGAACAATAGATGACGTCATTTGTCGGCACCTTTGAGAGCCCGTACCCGGTATTTATATATTACTTTTCTAACCTACATTATTTTATTACTTTTTACAAATAAATCGATCATTTGGAGAAATTTTTACATTAATGTCAATCTTTTTAATTACCATAACCGCATCTGTGGCACCGAACAGACGGAAGGATAAAATAGTTAAATTCTTAGGAAAAACTAGCCTCTCTTCAAAACTTTATCAACTAGTTTAATATAAAAGGGCTAGGAAATTAGCACGCCACTTATTTCTCACTATTTATTCCTCATACTCTTGCTCTTTCATATTAAAGTTAATAATGTAAAATCCATGACACTTTTGTCA